AAAGCAGCTGATTGTCGCAGGCTGGTTCAAGACTCTCAGCCCAGCTGCGCACACAGTTTTTTAAGGATCTGGGAGAGGTCCCTGATCCTGTGGTCCCCATGCACTGGAGATGTTAAAAAAAACTCTGTGCATAGCCACAGGGCTGTCAGATTGCTGGTATGGGGAAACTGTCCACCAAGCCCTGTCATGCAGGTAGTATCAGTCCTGGCCACACATTCAATTTTAAGGTATGATGGAAACCAGCCACAAAAATGTTATACATTTTGTGGAATATTTTTATGACTGGTTTTCCTTCTTGTTGTGCTATCTATTGCCTGAAGGTGCAGCTGGGTTACTATTCAAGACATGATTATTACATTTAAGATGAAATTAACCTGTTATGTCTACCAGGGGCCTGAGATACTAGAAACCCCCTTTAATCAGTATTTGAAATACTCTTAATACTAATGTGAAACACTCCTAATGAAAGAGAACAGAAAATGGGGATAGAGCTAATCCTGCAGCCTCACGAAAGGAGGATTCATTCCTTTGCTTCTGGATTTCTGCTGTTCTTGTACCTACGTATTGTTTAAAAGACTTTTGTGCTGTTGTGTTTATATTGCTTAGATCTTTTTGTGACAGCAAGAAATCAATTCATGCAGTTACGTAGGGCTGTCTGTTGTGAAACTAGGAAGTCCCTGTTCTGGTTCAAAAGACATTTAAGAAAGAAATTCACATCAGTCCTAGGGAATTGTGGTAGCATCCTGTGACATTCCCATTATCTGAAGAATAATTGGTCAGCTTTCTATCAGATTTAAATAAACAGATTCTCATTTTATTATGCACTCTAGAAAACTGCCCAGATACTCGAGCAATATAGATAGCTTTTATACCTCTGTGGTCAGAGAGAAATCTCTTCAGCTTGGTTCTAAAGTTCATTCCACAATTCTATATCTTGTTTAATTATAAGTTTGTCAGTGATTGGATCAAAAGGATGCCATGTTTCGGATCAGGAAGTACATTGTCTGCTGATGTTCACATAGTATGTTTACAACATAAATGCTGAGCAGGCATGGGATAAGTAGTCTTTAATTCTCTCAACACAGTAAGGCAGCAGTGAGCAACCTTTTTGCAGTGGTAGACAGATATGACTCAGCACACATTCTTGGTGGGCAGATGCCATGACCTGTCTGCCACCCATTCTCCCTGTCATCCAGGTATAACACAGACAAAGCTCTCTATGGCCCAGTTGTGGCCTGAGCAAAGACCCCTACTACCTGGTTGCAGCACAGCAGAGGTGGTGTGGAGAATCAATGGCAGTGTATCCCCACTCCCCTGGAACCTTTTCATCCCTCCAGGAGTGCACACCTCACACTTGGGAAATGTTGTGCTAGTAGTAGTCTTCATCTGGCTGTCAATTCAGGGGTATAAACTCTGTATCTAAGCATGTTTAATTTCTTAGACTCCAATAAGAACTCTCCCATTAGTTTTTCTTGCTTCATGCAGCAATGTTAAACTGTTCAACTGTCCGGTTTCCTGGTTGCTTTCTCCCTTCCCCCACACGCAACCTCCATAATCATGGTTCTTAGATGTTTGTTGTCCTTCCTCCCATGTCTATACTTCATAAATTTTAAGAAAAATAGAAACAGAGGAAGACCTAGATCTAGGTTCTAGTACCTCTAGTCCTCATTCTTTTGTGTCTGATCTGTTAGTATGGTCCTCCTACTGTAACTCATGTAAGAATACATTTTAACTGCCAAGTTCTCCCTGATACTGATGGAGTAATTTGGGAGTGTTTAAGGTGCATGTTGAACAGGCTCAGCATCTTTTGCTACCAGGGCTGTAGCAACTGAGCACAGGTGCAGCTGCTGAGAGCTGCTGTAGTATTTCTTATACTGCATACATATTTTCAAATGCACTCAGTTAAGTATCTGGCAGCTTGTCACATATACAAGGGAAGTGTTACTTTTTTGAACCATAACACCTTTCTTTTTCCAACTCCAGGTTCCATTTGAGCTCAGAATTTTCACCATTGTTTTATTCTATTTGATATCCAGCAAAAAGCACTTTTGTTTCTGTGGTGTACTTGGTAGCCATGTTGGTCTGAAACAAGAAGACATACAAAAAACTACAACCCTTGGTTCCAAAATAATACCTTTTATTAGACCAACTGGGAAATCACAAGAAAACTATCCTTTTCTGCAAGCTTTCAGGATCAAAGTCCCTTAGGCAGGCTCTGGGAAAAGTATAGATGATACAAGATGGTAAAAAGTCCCCATACGTGTGGAGACTTTTATACCTATAGGGACTTTTTAGCATCTTGTACCATCTATACTTTTCCCAGAGCCTGATGAAGGTGTAGCAGAAAGCCCCTTTTCCTCTTGCCTGCAGTTGCTCTCTCCTCCTTGGATATGTTTTTCCTCTTCTACCTTTTCTTCCTTCCTCTTTCTTTCACTTTAAGATAAGGAGTTGTGTTTTGAAATTTGTGTGTGTGCATTTTGTATCTCCCCTTGTATTTTGGTATTTTTATCTATTTGTGTGCCATGGCATTACTTTTGTAGCTTATATTTTATACTTCTCACCTTTCAACTTTCAACTAAATGTGTTTAGTTTCATAAGTAAGTTATACACTGTAACAACGTTAACAAGGGCAGGAATCAAACTGCCCTTCCCTGTATCAGGCTGGCCCCTGAAAGAGCGAGTGAATCGGTGATTGAATGTGTAACACGGTAGCAGGCAGCCATTAACATCTAAGAAAACTGCAGATCAACCAACGGAAGAACTCAATAGAAGACAATGTAACAACCAGGAAATCTCTAAACGTCACTGATCAAGGGCTAGAAGCCCTGGCCTGAGTTAATCAACGCTGGGGACCAACTTTTGGGCTGAATATCTCCAAATCGACCGCTCCCAGAGCCCTATGCAAAATTCATCAATGGACTCCCAAACCTGCACGTACATGCGGATGACCCCTGGGGCTGACAGATGCGATCTAGTAGCCACCGAGGGGGGAATTCCCATGAGGGTCAATGACCCCTGGATTGGGCAGACCTGAAAACTGGGGAGTCACCAAAGTCTGCTAAGGACAGATAAAAGCTGTGAAAAGTGACCCTCAGTGGCGCCCTCTTGAGCTCCAACTTGACCAGCACCCGACCTGTCTAGCCAGAAGGACCAGCCGGCGACCCCCTTCTGGAAGATAACACTATGCTGAAAGAAGCCTCAACAACAGACTCCAGCACCTGTGGGATAGGTATACCGGACTCTTGTAGCTTGCTTGTGTGTGTGTGTGTGTGTGTGTGTGTGTGTGTGTGTGTGTGTGTGTGTAAGGACCAACCCGAAGGTTTATGATTTAACTCATTACAGTGTTTCAATCCGCCTAATAAACCAGAATTTTAAGGATCCCGAGTTGGACATTTGTAGCCAACAAAGGGACTTTGATCCTGAAAGCTTCCAGAAAAGGACAAAGTCCCTTCATCAGGCTCTGGGAAAAGTACAGATGATACAAGATGGTAAAACTTCCCCATAGGTATAAAAGTCTCCATATGTATGGGGACTTTTTACCATCTTGTACCATCTATACTTTTCCCGGAGCCTGCTGAAGGGACTTTGATCCCAAAAGCTTGCAGAAAAGGACAGTTTTCTTGTGATTTCCCAGTTGGTCTAATAAAAGGTATTATTTTGGAACCAAGGGTTCTAGTTTTTTGTATGTCTTTTGTTTTTGTCATTTAGGAGAGCCATCTAAATGACACAGGAACAAAAGTGGACAGGTGACTGACTCCCTCTGCTAGTGGAGGGTCCCAAGTTATTCACAATTTATAGGCTAGGTTGTTTTATACCTATTTAAATTTTGTATGCATACTTAATATCAAAAGAAATTAAGTCTTTAGAATCTACTTTTGTCACTAAGGCCTACATGGGAAAATGTTCATTGAGGACTTCTCCAGTGGAGAACTAGCATTTTTGTATCATGAGATTTTAGTGAATGATTTCTTAGAAGTAACATGTTATTTGCATATATTAATTGGCTATTACAGGGTACAAGTAGGTCTTTATAGAAGTATCCTTTATGTCCTTTATACCCTATCCTGTGTCGTATGTTTTTCCCATTTTAATTTCAAATATTTTCTCTGATACTCTTATCTGGTGTCTAGCAGTGGATACAAATGTGCAAAAAGTGATCCATTTTTATATATAGGTCACCTATCTCTTGTGTCTGTTCACATGGAGTTATTCTCACTGCATTTTTGTTCTGTTAATGCAATTAATGGTACAGAATAGGATGGATTTCTGGAATAGGTTTTCCTTGCTATTTTTTTTAAGTTGTTAGTTTCACTATTACTTTATTAACAGCTAATTTGTCCATAGCATACTTGGATTATGGGGTATATGAAAGATGTAATTAAGAAACGATTTGGAAAACTGTAAAAAAATAATAAAACTTCTATATTATCAAAGGGTTTTTCCCCTGTAGTGTCTTCTGAATTATTGAGTCACTCTAATATATTTTGCCCAATAGAGGAACACTTGGAAATCAATGGGATATTTTAATAGAAGGAAAACTGAATATTTCACGATCTATTAGATAATTTTGACACTTCTGAGTACTGCACAAGATGGGACTTTGCAAAAGTACAGGTTATAAAAAAGTCCTAGTTATGGAATGACCAGTAAGGATCAATGAGACACAATTCTGAAAAATTTCTAGAGTTTTCCCCATTTACCCATAATTATGCCCTGAGATACTAATTAGGATAAAAAAAATAAGTGTAAACCAACTTAAGTTTTTTTGTATTTTAAACAGTTTAAATGCTTTATGAATAATAAAGTACATTTATACTATATGTCAAAAATATGCAGCTGTGGTACTGTTTAAAATTCAGTGTCACAATTTTAAAAATAGAATTTCAGCAGTCAGCTAAGCAAAACTATCAGCAAATGGTTACATCAAATATTTTATAAGCTGTCTCTCACACCTAGGCTATGGATGTTGTTTCATATTTTATTCTTTATCTTATATTTAGGGAAACAGATTTAAAGAAGAAACTTGGACACCGAGTGAACAAAACAAAACAGAGAAAAAAGCGAAAAAGAGGCAAAAAACAAAAAAATAGCCTTTTTAACATCAGGGAGAGAAAGTCAGATGGAGCACCTCATCATCTAATTCCTGCTGATCAGGAAACTTCAGAGAGTGAAGAGGAAGATTCAGAAGAAGAGAACAGAAAATCAGCTTGTACGTTCAATGGAGATGCAGGAGATCCAATAGGTGGTTGTGAAGATGGTTCTACTGGTGATGATGTTGAAAGTATAGAATCTACAAATCTTAAGAAAGAAGGTTTTCCTTTTGCTGTGTCTGAGACTTCAGCCACGTTTGACAATCCATCGAAAAACAACTTGCTTGCAGAAGATAAAAATCCACTTCTAATAAATTCAACATCCTTTTCTAATGATAACATAACTGAACATACAGCTGATGCACAGCTGACAGATGAAAATCAAAATAAAATCCTCTTGGAGAAAGAAAACAATTCATTAAAAAAAAATTATCAAAATTCTATCATAACAGCAGAACACAGTAGTGACGATTATAATACTGTGATGTTAAACACTGAAGACAAATGTAAATCAGGTCAAATTACATGCGGACCAAAAGAAAATCTTTCTCACCTTTATGATTTAAAAGAATCTGAAACTTCCATTGTCTTGTCCGATAAAAACATAAATGATAAACATATATCAAAAAGTAATAGGAATTACTCAAATGCATGGGCTTTTTTTTCAATTAATTTAGGTGATGAACAATTACAGCTGGACTCTGATAGGCAGACTTCTCTCTCTGCATGGCCTGAGAGCACCCATAAATTTATATGTGAGCAAAGACCAAAAAAAGTGAGGACACCCAAACAGACATATTCTGACGACACCGTAGAACTAGCTTATCATCATTCTAATGAAGAAATAGAAAAACAATCCAGTCAGCAAACATTCAATGAAGAGATTGTTAGTGTACCACGTGATAGCCTATCATCTTTGATTGACAGAAGAGAGAGTATTTCATTCCAAGAATCACAAGACACCTCCACAAGCAGCTTTCATGAAGTAAATTCTGAATATGCACCAGCTGTGCCAAAGAAAAAAACACGCAAAAGGATACTCAAATTGGCACCAAACTTTAATATACCAAGACATATTGCTATTAGTACAGAGGAAGGACAGAAGGATGTTCCTTTACAACATGATCGCTTATCAGAAAGCATTTTGGAAATGAAACAAAAGAAAGTTTTCAATAAGAAAAATGGAGAAAGGGATGACCAAATCTTTAAAATTCATGAATTGCAACCATCTTCTAATAATGATGAGCTGATAGAGTCTTCACCTAACTGTTATGTGAAATCTCTTTTGCCTGATACTTTGTATGATCGCATGGGACAATCTGGTGCTTCTTCAGTTCAGAAGTTTCCCAATAGCTTGTGTATAGTTTCTTCAACAACTGAGGAAGAAATCCCACCTGTTAAACAACAAAAGATATGTGATAAAAAAGAGGGTGAGCAAGAACAAGTCTCTTCTGAGGTCACAACTAGTCACCCAGATATCTTGTCTTCTGTTAAAGTCATTTCTGAATGTTCTGCAGACTGTATTATGTTTGAAAGCTGTGGGAATGGTATAGAGAAAACTGAACCACCAGAAGTCTCACAAATTGAAGATAAACAAGATTCTCTAGATGCTAAATCTAATGTTCTGGATCTTCCTTTATCATTAGGATTTGCTTTTCAGCTTGTGCAGCTTTTTGGTTCTCCTGGAGTTCCACTTGGTAATATTAACTGTTGTTGTTTCAAGCGTACGTGAAGATAAATGTCAGTTTCTCATTGCAGCTAGCAGTTACACATTTGTGACAATTTAGATGATGACCGGTTGCCAGTATAGATACTTTGATGGAATTAATTGGATCTCTTGCTCACTTAATTATATAGGCTACCGGTTCTTCGTTGAGCATTTTATAGCTGTGTACCCTTGTTGCATGCTGTTGAGTAATGCTGACTATTCACTAACTTTAAATCCAAAGAATGAGATCCTTGTAGCTATGCTGCAGTTTCAGCTGCATAAAGACATTATATTAAGTCAAATTTTAACCAGATGGTTAGGAAACTGCATGAAAACAAACATGAAGAGTGAATCTTTTGCTTCCATGTTTGTTTGCGTATTTCCTTGCTAGCCAGCATGTATTTCACTTTTTTAAATACTAGCATTCCAATACGAATGATGCACATCCAGAACCTATATTCCATTAACCTTTTCAGTGCATTTTAGGTACTTTTGAAAATTTTGCCCTGAGCCAAATGAATATGAAATTGAAGATCAAGCCCCAGATGCATATTTTTCTTGTGCTACGTATATTCTTTGAAGCATGTTATACACACCTGGAATGTCATCATAAAAGGCTAAGGCATATGCTGAGTTTAAATTTTCCTAGTGTAATTTTATTTAAATTATATGCTAAGTCAGGCAGGATATATCCCTCTGAATGAACAAAATATGTTGAAAGGTTAAACTGTCTTCCTAAGTGTGTGATCACCTTCACATGAAAGTAATTCTAGTGACGCATAGTCAGCATGGTTCTTCATGTGTATAACTGAACATTTGTCTAAGACTTTGTAGATCAGTGACTGCAGGCCCCTATTTAGACAGACAGTTATAAACATTTTACCTCTTATGGGGGCTTTCCTCAATGAAAATATTAAATTCATTTAGATTACAGAAACATTGCTTTGATTTTAACATATCATTTTAACAAAGCATATTTACAGAGAACCAAGGTTAGAAATAGATGCTGCTAAATGGAGCAATTCATCTGTGCTGTTATGTGTCACAGCACAGCTGATCCACTTCACTGGGCAAAAGACAGGCTGAGTGGGGAAAGCGCCGCAAGGTAATAGACATCTGCCTCAATAAAGCAGTCTATTACTACCTTTTGTCGTGTCACTGATTTTCATGTCATGTGGCACAACAAATGGTAAAGAAGTCTATTTGCTCAGCATTTGTGCCACCTTAAAATTTGTAATGTGGCACAAATGAGAAATCAGATGATATCTGTTTCCTAAGACACAGTCAAAAGCTACATGATGATTTAAAAAAAAAAAAAAAAGGTGCTTAATTTTAAATCCTTGAGTAATCCTTAATGATTTTTAGGTGTTAAGACTTCAGGTTAAACATGTGCTTAAAAGCTTTGCAGAATTGGGGATAAAATTAACAAACATGTTTTTGAAAATAGTTGATAATTAGTTTCTCTTTTACTTACCTGTCAAGACCACTAATTTTCTTGTAAAAGTTGATGCCATCACTAATGATGAGGACAATATAATTTCCTCCATATATTTGGTGCTTGTGAGGTCTCAGCTATTACTGGCAAATACCTTTTCCTCTCTTCAGCTATGGCTTGCAAGTGTACATCTTGGCTAGGGACAGACATTAAAAAAGCCTGAGCCTGAATTGTTTCAGTCTTTGCAGGTTAGTCTAACCTTGCCAAACTGAACCTGTTTGTAACCAGACAGACATTCTCTCTGGACTGAGGAAATTCAGGCACATGCCTGCAGTGGCTCAGGCTAGAAGCTGGGGGGCACTAAAGCAGCTCTCCCTTCCCTTCCATAGTGCTGAGCGGGGGGGGGAGGGTGGCCAGACCCTGGCAGAATGTTCTGACTAGGAAAGTCTGCCTGCACCATCTCAGGCTTTTTCCCACTAGCTGTTCAAGCGACGGGAATGTTGCCAGACCCCAGCTCCCTGCTAGCACTTTGAGGCAAAGGGGGGAGGCAGGAAAGGGGAGTGCAAAGCATGCATCTGCTGATGATACAGAGCTTTTCAGTCTCCCTCCCTGCTTCTTTATATGGTTTGTAGCAAACTGACAGGAGAACAAGCCAGCAGGGAGCTGATAAGTGTTTATCACCCTATCAGCAAAACAATAGCCTCTCTCCTAATGGAGTTCAAACTCTTCTTAAACAGCTTACCAGCCGACCTGTTGATTGGCTCCAAAAAGCCCTAAGCGGTCACTGTTCGGTTTGCCTGCCCCAGTGAAATTGGAGACATGCACACACACACACCTCTCAGCATTAGCTAGCATACTACATGCTTAGGGTCCATGGGGCTGGGGTCTGTGCTGTGAGAGATGGGAGGAAGGGGGGGAGGATCCTTGCTTCGGCAGCGAGCAGTGAGGGGGGTAGGGCAGGGGGAAGCCAGGCAGACCCTGATGTACTTGCAGTCTCTGCTGAAGCTCCAGCCAGGGAGCAAAGGGGAGGGGCCAGCCCTGCTGTGAATCGGAGAGCCCTGTCTGGCCCAGAGAGCATGCGAGGATGCTGGGGGAGTCTGGTTTATCTTAAACAAGCAAGGGGTCTGGGACAGACATTGCATAAACCAGTTTGAACCAAATCGATTAAGTCTGATACTACGTTCAAGCAGGTTTATCTCAAACTGGTTTCAGCCATTTTCAAACTGGTTTATGTGCACTGAGCATCTGTACTCTTACAGGTTTAAACCAGTTTCTGATCAGTTTATGTGTAAAATCTGTCCCTAGCCTTTCTGGGCTGGGGTCTTGTCAGATCTCATCAAGGAAACATGATTGGATATTATAACAAATTGAACCAGTAAATTCCAAACATGGATATAAGCTGGGAGTAGTGGTGAAGCCGTAGTAAATCAATGACTGTTACTTATCCCTTAGAGTCAGTACTAAACTAAGCTCTCTGTTTTAGGGGAACTTCTGTTGGAAATACTCTTTAAGAGAGATAGCACTGAGGCCCTGACCATTTATGATTGTTAAAGATACTATAGTTCTGGATATTGGTCCCAGTCTATTGGGAAATATTTGTATTGGCTTTAGGTTCCTTAAAACCTGGTATGTAGAAAACATATAATTCTGGGTTTTGCCTGAGCTGAGCTAGCAGCAAGTCCTTCAAATATAAACAATACCTGATAAAATACAACAATACTTCTTTGCTTAAAATGCAATAATATGAATAGTCATCCCTAAAATGTCTTGTTCTTTTGCAGAATCTTTGTTGCCAGATGATTATATAGTTCCTCTTGATTGGAAAGTATCAAAGATGATCTATTTCCTGTGGAAGACATCTGTGGAGGTATGAGTTCTACTTTTTCCCAAGCCACCTATAGTTTAGGAGCAAAGAGCAACCATTTCATTCAGAAAAAGAGATTATTTTAGCTGGAAGATCTCTCTTATAAATGCAAACAATTTAATGGACCACCTGCTGCAAGGCCAGGACTAGTTCTAATATATAGTCAGACTGAGAAGGTGTGAGGGGCATAGCAATAGAATAACTTAGGAGCCAGGTAAGAAAAATGAAATCTCTTCTTGTTGCTGTAGGTCCCTCCCTAAATCCCCCATATGAGTTCCTACTGCCCTCCACCATTCTTTTTCTACACCTATTGTGCCATGACCTGAGCATCTCCAGCTAACGCTATTCCTTCCCTGACATTTCTAGCAAAAATATTAATAGAGGTTGTGTTGCGTGAGTGAGTGACTGGGACTTGGCTTCCTTTACCTGGTCAGACACTGCAGTTTTGAAATAGGTTTTTGCTGCTGTTTACAGTAGCTGTTATTTTTTATGGCAATTTTTAGAAAATATGATAGGCTGCTATCATGAAAAATGACAGAAATCCTGTAAGTACAATTAATTAAAATTTGTTATGTAAAATGGACATAAATCTCACACCACATTTTCTTCCTTTTTATGTTGTTGTTATTTATTTTAGGAAAAACAGAAGAAGAATGGCTTTCAAAATGGGAATTCCTTGGTTGGTAAGCATAATTTCCTAAACAGAAAGCATATAAAATGTCTGTTTACCTGTGGAACAAACAATTAAAGGAGAAATGAAAAAATTTGAAGTCCCTGTATCCAAAGGAGTTGTTATGCTATTCTTTGTGTTAGATGAAGTATATTATACTTCAGTGTAGTATTAAATAGATGCCTCTGTATACAGTAGACAATATAGCCATTTTACAACTGTTGTGCAACATAATTTGAGTTTCCTTATGTTCTGAAACTTTCCATCTTAATGGATTTTCTTATTAAATACATTAAATTAAGAACTTTGAGTTAACATCCAGTTCAGAATAGGCATGAAAGTGAAAAACATCTTTTTTTAGGCTTTATTCCTGCCAAGTGCTAAGAGTATCCAACTTTCACTAAATTCACTGGGCACTAAAGATGATTAGTACCTCTTTGGAACAGGCTGCAAGTCAGTAAAAGAGAGTGAGGCTTGATAAGAAGTATCAAGAAGACTGTGTGAAGGAAATTACTGAAGTTTTCAGATGGAGATTCGTGTTGATTTACCCTTTCTCCATCACTTTCATCTCTTTGTGTGGCTGGTTGCCATTGGCCTGTAAATATTTTACTGTTTTGTGGCTTGGGAGCATCAAAAGCATTCCCCACTACAATTTTGTTGTCTTTGTGGGAGACTTGGTCTTGGGCAAGCCTCCCTCTAATCATCAACAGTATTATCTTACTGCAGCACTCAAGGTCTATGAAAGCAGCTGGAAAAAATGGCTTCTGGGATGGGTACCCAGAAGTTAGTCTTTGTCTTGACTAAGTTTAGGTGCATAGTTAGGCTAAAACACTTCAGGGTGCTGATAGATGTGGAGGACAAAAAAAAAAAGTGCTTTAGTGGAAGAAGCAGCATTAGATCAACCCAGCTCCACAGCGTCTTTATAGATGGGTTGATTTAGTGGGGCTTTTTTTGGTGTTTTTATCCAACTATAGATTGGGCACTCTAGTGGGCTCTTTTGGCACTTTTATCTAATAGCTGATTGGTTCGATCAGCTACTAGATAAAAGCCCCAAAAAAGCCCCACTAAAGCACCTGATCTATACAGACATTGGGTGAGTCAGGTCCAACTAACACAATGCCTCTTCTGGGTATGTGCTGGGCTTGGTGTGGGTGCGTGCAGAGTTTAAAGTAAAGCACCATTGGGAGGGGGAAAGAGGGGGATCATACATACATCTGTAACCAGCCTTAGTGTTTCAGATTGGTAAAATATGTAGATTTGTAGTGAAATAAACTGTTCCAGAGATGTTATTTTACCTTGACACAAACAAATGGCAAACTGTAAATGTACTTCACTTATCTCTGGCAAATCACAGTATTTTTTTAGTTGATACTACCACTCCTCAGTATAAAGAGTCAAGAATCTTATGAAACATTTCAAGAAATGGACCTGTTTCACATGAAATAGTAAAGAATGTCATGACTCACACAAGTGCTTGTTGCCCAGATACCATATCCAACCTATCTTAAATGCCATCTTGAATAGAGAAACTCAGCATGAGAAAAAATGTAACAGTTTATAAACCTATTTATCTCATTCTTATGCATTAGGTTGTTCAAAACACCTGAAGAACAACGATTTTTTTGCATTCATTTTCATAAAATGATTTTAAAATAGTACCTATAGACATCCATCTCTGACTTTATCTACATTCCCCCCCCCCCCCAAAAAAAAACCCAAACAAAACAAACAACAACCCAAAACTGATTTAAGGAAAGAGGACAATCAAGAAACTATATGTTTTTAATCAGTCAGTGGACAAACTACAATACAGTAAAACCTGGATGGTCCAGTGGACAGAGCACTGTACTGGAATGCAAGAGATGGGGTTCTATACTCAGTTTGGTTACTGACTTCATGGGAGAGCTTGGTTGAGTAAATTCCAGTTTCTACATTTCAGTTCTCCTTCTGTAAAATAGGATAATGTTACTGACTGTCTTTCTGAGACATTTTGCAGATAAATTATACTCAGCAAAACTTATCCTCTTTGTATATTAGACGTATTCTATGGCAAATTGCTAATTAAAAATAAAGTACTAAGAACTGTAAAGAGGAAGGACTTTGGGACCAGCCTATTGGATGCAAAAAATAATAATACCTAGCTCATATATTATGTTTCTCATCAGTAGATCTGAAAGTACTTTTACAAAGGAAAAAACATTATTACCCCATCTTTAGAGATGGGAAAGCTGAGGCACTAGTAAGTTAGGTAACTTGACCAAGGTTATCCAGCAGGCCAGTAGCCAAGCTAGAAATAAAACCTCAGTCTCCCTGTTTCAAAAAGCTACTGCCAATGTGCGAGTTAGCTATGAATATGCTGGAGTTTGCTTTGTCAATATTCTCTTTCATAATTACCAATTGGAACATTTTCTAATAATGTACATTGTTTATTATGGAATATAATCTGTGTCAGAAGGAAACTAAACAAACAAGCATTGGGTTGGAACAGTACTTTGATGTTTATTAATTTTAATATTGATTTTCTTAAAAGGAAGTTTCAATAACGTACTTTCCCCTCTAATTTGTATTGCTGATTAGCTTAAGAACTCGGTACGTTTGGAGCTGTAGGTCAACAGGGCGGAGCTGTTACATTCCAATTGTTATATTTAGACAAGCCATGAAAGATAAAAATGTAGCAAAACTACTCCAGGCTTTAACCTGCTTCATCTAGTAGGGCTGCTGACAGACCTGAAAAAACAGAAAAAACAAAAACCACACTTTAGTGGATGAGGCAACACATTAGTTCAGCCTGGCTCTATAGCATCTGTATAGATCGGGTGCTTCAGCAGGGCTTTGTGGCACTTTTATCTAAGGTTGATTCAATCAGCTATTAGATAAAAGTGCAT